TTTTGAAGGAAATGGCGTTACAGGACAAACCTGTATGCTCTAAAAGTGGCTCTTCACATCACTGCAGGCTGATTAACCATGTCTTCATTTTTTTTACAAGATAGATCACCCGATGGTTCGAGCTTTAAAAAATGAAAACGAGCCTCAGCGATGGACTTGTTGGAAGGACTTGTTGGAAGGACTTGTTGGAAGGGATCCAAAACCTCTTTGTTTAGCCTGCCAAATCCCCAGACCTCACTGTGTGTGATTTATTTTCTTGTGGGGATATATAAGAAAATCGCATTTATGTTCCACCGCTACCTACTATCCTCGATAACCTTACACATCGAATGACAACAGCAATCATCTCAGTGGACCGTGATATGCTGAAACGCGTCTGGGATGAATTCTCCTATTGCACTGATTTTTTCCGTGCTGCTGGTGGTGGCCACATAAAACACTCGTAAGACAGGAATAAAAAGTTGATTGCGGGTGCAATACGTGTGACTTAGCTTGAGTTTTGTATTGCGTCATGAAATCAGTTCATTCTTTTTGTATCACCCTGTACATAAATACGTTCTGATGTTTTAAACATAAAAGAATCTGGTACTGATCCACACACTAGAGAATCATTTATGCTTTTGGTAATAATTGGCATTAGTTCATCAATGGAGGAAGACAACGGAAAACTGTGGGTGGTTGGCGGGTGTTCTGGTGTGGTTTGCTCCTTCTTTCTATCAAACATTTGTCGTCTTTATCTCCCTTGTAACACCTCTAATCTTCTGGCGCTCATATGACCTTGTGCAGTTGCGAGCGCGGTAAAATCTCTACTAAAACAAACAAACAACGGAAGACTAGGGACAGGGTGCAGTCAGATCATAATGTGTGCGAGGCGATTTTAGAATGACTCCATGTTTTCTATGTGTGTTGTGTGGTCACCATTCCTCCATGTTTTCTATGTGTGTTGTGTTGTGTTGTGTGGTTACCATCCCTCCATGTTTTCTATGTGTGTTGTGTTGTGTTGTGTGGTTACCATCCCTCCATGTTTTCTATGTGTGTTGTGTTGTGTTGTGTGGTTACCATC